TTCTTCTTCTTCTTCTTCTTCTTCTTCTTCTTCTTCTTCTTCTTCTTCTTCTTCTTCTTCTTCTTTTTCTTCCTCTTCGATCCTGTCAGAAAATGTGTATTTAAGGGTCAGTAACCTTTATAAAAGCTATCGTGTAGTCCATATCTTCTCGTATACCATACAGCTTTGTCTTTATTGTGGCTGGAACAGGCCAGGTCGGCTGCGTCTCTGTTGTCAGCTGCGTCTCTGTTGTCAGCTGCGTCTCTGTTGTCAGCGTACAGTTAACATTGTTGGAGCACATGCTCAACATTTTCGGGTACCTCGCTGCAGGAACACGTCTCCGTGTCTCCTACATCGAAAAGTTGGAACATATATATGTTCAAGAAATCGTTTGTGCCCAGTCTTTAGTCAGAATATATACGTTGTCCCTCTCTAGAGAGGCGATGAAGCGAGTCATGAGGAAAGAATTTGGTGTGTGTATCCAGCCACCTTTCTTGGATACTAGATTGTATTAATTTCTTAGTGTCTTGGTGGGTTAAGTCACTATTTGGTTGTACCATGTCACTGCCGCTTCTAGCCAATCTGTTCGCTATATTCTTTGCCTTCCAAGCCACAGTGGCCTGTAATCCACTGCAATTCAGATTGTTTTACTGAAGAGCCTAAGTAAATCACCTGTCGCGTCAAGTCTACAAACTGAGTGTCTTTTGGGTTAACAATTGCTTATAGAATTGACATAGCATCAGTCAGAAAGACCACTCTGCTATATTTGTTGTGCTGTTGACCATTCAAAAAAGAACATACCCCAACAAGTGCATCCGCCTCTGCTCTGTAACTGGAGAAATATGAGCCTGTTGGTATAACTTAGTTAGTTTTGGAACCATTTGGGCATTCTTTGTTTATTCTTTCTTCTCTGTCTCTTACTGCTGTCTTGGCTGAACCATCTGTATACACTCTGCTCCTACTCTGGTGTGGATAAAGTTTGTTGATCTATAACTGACTTCATTTCGTTGCTGCTCATTGACGTTTTGAAAGAGATCCCTGTTACCGTGGTTCTGACTGTTGGTAGGTTATCCCTGAGCTAAGGGGGCCGTGGTTGTAAGGTTTCAGTTGAACATGTGGTACTATGTGATGGCAGTATGACATAAATAGTAGTAGCTGTAGTAGTAGTAGTAGTAGTAGTAGTAGTAGTAGTAGTAGTAGTAGTAGTAGTAGTAGTAGTAGTAGTAGTAGTAGTAGTAGTAGTAGTAGTAGTAGTAGTAGTAGTAGTAGTAGTAGTGGTGGTGGTGGTTGTGGTGGTGGTGGTAGTACCAGTTGGTGTTGTTTTTTGTTGTCATTGTTGTCGTGGTAGTGTAGTGGTGGGGGCTTACTTGTGTTGCTAAAGTGTTTTACGAGATGGGTTAACCAAACCTAAGCTCAGCCTATGTTGATGATAGTGATTATAATGACAATGAAGAAGATAATGATGATGATAATGATGATGATAACGATGATTTTATTTATTTTGACGATACTGGCAATGATAATAATGATACTAATCATGTTATTGTTGCTGGTGCTGATGATGATTGTGGAGATGACAGTGATAATGAATGTAACGATAATAGTATAGTTCCTAATGATTTAATGACGGTGATGATGATAACGACGACGACGGTCAGATGACGATGAACATTCTGGAACAAGCTAACAGCATTGTTATTTCAAACTGCCTTCTAGAACGAAAATCTCACAGATTACCTGTGCGCTAGCCGCCTACGGAAAATCGTGTGACGCCGACGTGATGCCTCTCCGGGCCACTGTGGAGTGCACCATGTTGCCGAAACCGTGCAAGGAAAACACCCAGACGGAATACAACAGCGTCTGTGATAAGGTATAGCTAAATGAATGTGACTTGTGTGATTTCTCTCCGTTACTTGCTAACCATTTATAAACAGAACCGAATCCTTTTTGTTTTTCCAGAAATGATGTTGGCTCACAGATCGACAGAGCCTTAAATGGGTATCAGGTAAAGTCCTTGGAAGTAAAGGCGGCCTGTGTGATGTTGACAGCATTTCCCATCGAATGCTAAAAAGTCTATAAAATCTAGGTTTAGCCCTATATATCCAGTAGTCCTAAGGGCATGGAAAAGAAAGCTTTACTTGTATCTATCTATCTATCTATCTATCTAACTATCTATCTATCTATCTATCTATCTATCTATCTATCTATCTATCTATCTATCTATCTATCTATCTATCTATCTATCTATCTATCTATCTATCTATCTATCTATCTATCTGTCCGTCCGTCCGTCCGTCCGTCCGTCCGTCCGTCCGTCCGTCCGTCCGTCCGTCCGTCCGTCCGTCCGTCCGTCCGTCCGTCCGTCCGTCCGTCTGTCTGTCCATTATCCACACTATCATATACTCATGCCTTTGTGTCCAGGCTTACGCAAGGATAAGTAGCACCAGCACCTTTCTAAGCACTGATTGTTTTCCCGCGCTACTGTAATAGACACCTTGCGGTGTCTACCGGCACCTTTTGACACTTTATGGTGAGAGACCAATCAATGGCGTAGGGAAGGGGGTGCAGGCCGCCCTGGGGCGTCACCACAGGGTGGTGGCTAAATGGAAAACGTGACTGGGAGACCAGGGGAATGTGGGTGGGGGGGGGGGAGAGGGTGTAGAGGGGGTTGACCTCAAATGTTCCGCAGCGTGTTCGTGTTGACCTTTGCTATACCACTGGTGCCAGCAGCTTTTGTTTGGCTAACATAACGCACATCTCCCCAAAAAGAGCAGATGCCTTTTCATTCACAAGTTTGTTGGGCTGATCAACTTTCCTGAAGGTTACAGGTGTGTCCTGCTCTATAGTTTGCTTTCTGTGTTGTCTTGCATCTAGTTTTTCATTCCGAGAAAGAGAATGCCTGTGACTTAGGTTGCAGTACTCTATATAGGAGTTGTGTTTGGGCCAGTTGCTCCATGTTTTTGAAGCATTAAAATCACTGGCGTGCTGAAATTTACAACACGCGATATCAACGGTTTCACGGAACACCCCTCTGACCTTGAGCGAATTCCACGAGGCTTAGGAACTACCCAACAGAAGTGACCTAGTGTGTATATAGACGGGGCGTGGGGAGGTCAACGTTACGTCTTCCTTTATCCTTTTTTTTTTTTTTTAAACATCCTTGCATACTCCATCTATTCCTCTATCTGTGTTACATATATCTAGCTGTGGATGTGAAACATAAACTTGGCATGAAAAACACACTCAGCGAAATGTTGTATCTCCACCAGGTGACGACGCCATCCCCGGCTGAGACGATTCGACCCACGCAAGGAAAGCCAGGAATGATTCCAGTCGATGGCGGATCCTCCTCCAACTCCAACTTTCAAAGTGTTCGGAGCAGCACCAACGCAGCAGACATTGTCGGCTTCTTTTTGGCGACGCCCCTGATACTCGCTTCTGTGTTAGCTTTACTTTAGAAGCCCAGAAGCCTCTTTGAAAATATCGTTAAAGCACTGTTAATTTCAAATTCCATTTTTTTTTTCGTGTGTTATTCGATTGGAGGTAATTGATGTTTGTTTGTTTGTTTTAGTATCCAGGAGCCATGATACCCTTAGGCTCGGTATTATGGATATCGCAACCTTTCGGCCTTGATTCCATTGTAAATACCGTAAATCTGGGAGAAACGTGGAAGAAAGAAAGAAAGAAAGAAAGAAAGAAAGAAAGAAAGAAAGAAAGAAAGAAAGAAAAGAAAGAAAGAAAAGAAAAGAAAGAAAGAAAGAAAGAAAAGAAAGAAAGAAAGAAAGAAAAGAAAGAAAGAAAGAAAAGAGAAAGAAAGAAAGAAAGAAAGAAAGAAAGAAAGAAAGAAAGAAAGAAAGAAAGAAAAAGAAAAGAAAGAAAGAAAAGAAAGAAAGAAAGAAAGAAGAAAGAAAGAAGAGAAGAGAAAGAAAGAGAGAAAGAAAGAAAGAAAGAAAAGAAAGAAAGAAAGAAAGAGAAAGAAAGAAAGAAAGAAAAGAAAGAAAGAAAGAAAGAAAGAAAGAAAGAAAGAAGAAAAGAAAGAAAGAAAGAAAAGAAAAAAGAAAGAAAGAAAAAGAAAGAAAGAAAGAAAAGAAAGAAAGAAAGAAAGAAAGAAAGAAAGAAGAAAGAAAGAAAGAACGAACGAACGAAAGAACGAACGAAAGAAAGAAAGAAAGAAAGAAAGAAAGAAAGGAAAGAAAGAAAGAAAGAAAGAAAGAAAGAAAGAAAGAAAGAAAGAAAGAAAGAAGAAAGAAAGAAAGAAAGAAAGAAAGAAAGAAAGAAAGAAAGAAAGAAAGAAAGAAAGAAAGAAAGAAAGAAAGAAAGAAAGAAAGAAAGAAAGAAAGAAAGAAAAGAAACAGGCAGGCAGGCAGGCAGGCAGGCAGACAGACAGACAGACAGACAGACAGACATACAGACAGACAGACAGACAGACAGACAGACAGACAGACAGACAGACAGACAGACAGACAGACAGACAGACAGACAGACAGACAGACAGACAGACAGACAGACAGACAGACAGAATAGTGATGGATCACAAAGACACTGGTAAATAGAAAATATCGCCGGGACATTCTCGGGGTCATTATAATGGCATCCATCCCTGTTGTGGGTTCTGGGACGACCAGTGTGTGTGTGTGGGGGGGGGGGGGAATGGGGGACAAAGAATCGGCCGACTGCACCCTACCAAGCACATTTATATCGAAGCCTATGTCCGTTTAGAAAAAAAGAAAGATTAAAAGTCGACCGTCTTCAACCTCGCGCTGACAGCGAAGTTGCTAGCAGTCTCAGGTCATATTTATGGTCTGAGTTTGTGTGTGCGCTCGCGCGCCAGGTGTTTGGCTAAGATTGTGGTGTATGTGTCAGACTTAGTGTCCCTAACCAAGCAGACTGTCCACTGTGTCTGTGTCTGTGTTCCATTATGGTCATGTTGTTCCTGGCTTCAGTGTGTTATCTTATGTAGACAGGTGCTTTGCTTAGGGAGGGGGAGGGGGCGATCGTCATATTCAACCAGCATTCCCTGAAGTGGAGCACTGGGTTATAATTGTGACCAGGTTAAGTGTGCCATTTAAAATTGCTTAGCATTGCTCGCCGCCAACAGCCCTAAAAAGAACTACTGTAGTGTTGATGCGATCAAAGTAGACAAACCCAAATACAGTACCGACCGGCAACGAAGTCGTCTATCGCTAAGCCTATGGACGACCTGGTCGCCAACGTGTGTTATCTTCTTTCCGATTGCGTCTTCTGGTTATATGTGTGCATGTGTCATGTTATGGGCACTATGCTATCCACAACTCATACATACAGGCCATTTTTTCGAAACCGGCCTGTTAGATCGCATTGATTTTTTGCCTGCAGCCTTAGAATATCCATAACGTTGGGGGTTTTTTTTTTTTTTCGCCTAAGAAGCAGATAATATGTAGTTTTATTTTTCTTTACGATATATATTTTTATCATGAAACCGTTTTGGTAGGCTTTTGGAAGGTTTACTTTCATTAGTATCAGGAAGTAATGCACACTATGACTGTTTAACAGGGAGTCAAAGAAAACCTGCGTAATTTCATGATTTTCTCGTGCAAAGTCGCACCGTTAGTGACCTGACGCCAAAATAAGACATCGGTCAAGGTTGCTCAGTCAAAGGCTCATCCACAAATTAGTGTTCTGTTATTGCGCCATATAGAAGCTTATGAAAGCTGACATAGATGATTACTGGCCATCCACATGTGGGGTGAAATTTTTTCGTTATTTTGAAGCCCTACCCTGGCACTTGCCAGGGGCCGCAATATAGCCCGGCAATAAAAATGTTCTAATGACTAAACACGGTTTCTGGGACCTCTCCACGGGTGATCCTCATCCACATGGTGGCGCTTTGTGTGATAAAGTGTTTATCGCTTGTATGGTATGGTATGGTAGTCTTAGTTTCAGCTTCATAGCAAACGGGTTGCCCCATCTTTGCTCCGCTCCTGTGCCAGCGAAAAACACTCAGAATGTCTATCACAGTCCCTTGTGGAAAGATTGACAGAGTGCTGTCTCAGCATATCTAGCATACACTCGCATTAAAGCATATGGTAGCCATCCGAAGTGCTAACACAAACAGTCCAACATTAGAAATGCAGTTCATCATTGATGATAGCAGAACTTGTCGTCAACAGATCAGCAGTTGTCCGCGTGATCAATTTTAATACGGGTCCCGCAAGCATTGAACGACAGGCATCGCGCCATTTTCTGAATCTACAATTCACACCACCACGTTGGTCACAGTCGAAAAAAAAACATTCCAAATGCAATCCGCAGCTCACAGGGTCACGCCATGCATTCAACTCAGAAGCTGGGCGACGAAACTATATCCAGTCTACAAATGGAGCAAAAATGCATCGGCCACCGTCCGGCAGAAGCAAAAAATTTGCCTCTGTTCCGAACGGCGCCGCTGTCTAGCGTCCATTTTTATCGCTTGTGTGATGTCCTGGTGGGGTAAAAGTAGAAAAGACATAGACATCAATTTCAAAATGAATTTGAGATTCAAATTTCTAACTATGCAGAAGGTTACCGTTTCACTGTATCAGCACTTTCTCGTGGAATCTAAGATGGGTCATTTATTTTGTGATATTCATGACTCAGAAAAACGAACACTATTGGCGCTTGGTCTGGATAAAGCATCATTTAACCATTGGATTAGATAGGACACGGAGTACACTTATGTCAAACAAGGAAGGAAAAGGAAAGTTGACGACTTTGATGTAGATGTCATTAGACGTGAAATCTTTAAAATGTTAGAGACAAATCAACTTGTTACTCTCCGAAAACTGAAATTAACATTGAAATCACAATGCGGTATTGACATTTCAAATAGCGGTATTGACATTTCAAATAGTGGTCTGTGGAAAATTGTAAGAGCTCCGGGTTCACTTTCATGAAAACTGTAGGTAGAAGGAATATTATTTATGAAAAATCACATTTAATTGCCAGTCGAAGCAAATACACGAGGCAAAACAGTGAGCGATGGAGGCAAGGCTATGATATTGTGTGAATTCTGGGTTAGGTTTACCATACCTTTGCTAAAGAAGGCAGTCAGTAAACGGCGAACAGAAAAGTAACATTCCAAGCAGCAAAGGCCAGCGCATTATACTCACTTATGCAAGAAGCAGGGGAAAAAAGGCCGTATCTATGACGCTGGACTTATTTTCTAATCAAAAAGTACAGATGGTTGGGACTACCACACTGATTGAAAGGACAAATTTTCAGATACTGGAAGGTGAATGATCTTCTTACAATTCTGGACAGACCGTCATGTCTAGTGATGGATAGTGCCGCCTATCACAATGACCTATCAGAGGAAGACAAAGTACCAACGACATCAAATACAAAAGATCAAATTAGGACATGGTTTGCTAATGAAAAAGTCTACTTTGACGACACATATTTGAAGGCTTGTGGGGAAAACAAATAATATAAAGGTGTATCATACTGACTAAATCATTAATGAATTTGGCCACACTTCTCTGTGATTCCCTGCATATCATTCTCACCTCAACCCGATAGAGCTTGTTTGGGCTAAAGTCAAAAGACAAGTTGTCGAAAAGAAAAGTATATTTTAAATGTATGATGTTGAAGTTCTGACACGTCCTTCTCAAAATTAGGCATTCGTTTCTGGAAAAAGTGTGTTGGACATGTGTTCCTCCGGAAGGAAGACGAGTACTGGCACGGAGATGGATTACAATTTGTTCAGCCAGTAACAATTATCAACTTTTTAGGATCGTCAGATTCAGAATGAATAAAACCATTTTTCGATGAGTGGTAATATCAAGCCTTAAGGTACATCTGCAGTTGCAACAAACACATCTCCATTTCCACACATGTCAACCACAATACAATTTGCTGTGCAGTTAAGAAACAGCGTGGGGTCTAATGGTGACTGAAGGGGAATCCTAACTGTTGCATACTGGGGGCATGTTTACAATTAAACAATGCAGACAGACTGGCTGGATCTGCACCACTCGGTTGTGAGTTGATACATGACAAGGCAGATGTGGTCAAGGGCCTATGGGAACAAGTAATGAAGTCACAAGAGAAAATAGATTATCATGGCCTGAAGATAATGCTACACCTGGGTGTGAATAACAGCACTCGGGGCATTCCCATATGTGCTCCGTCCCTATCTTCATCAGCAAGCACAGAGTTCCAATATTAACGGTACCGGACGCAGTCTGATTATTAGTCCATCTTGCCATTCCTCTGAGTGTAGTGTGCACGGGCGTCCGATCTTACTACCCAGAGACCAGGGGAAATTACTAGAAGTCAACGTGAAGAGACAAAATCCCAGTCTTCATTCGGGCTTGAGCCCGGGACCTCTAGCACTCGAGGCGGACACCATGCCTCGAGACCACGCAGCCCCCTACACTAAAAACAATGCTAGAGTGAATTTCCATAAACACGATTCATACAATAACACTAATTACAGCTATAAAATCGAACCAGGTCTACAGATATAAGTTTGAGCACGTGCTAGACACTTGCCTGCCTTTTTTTTTTTTTAAATGACTTCGGCTCCCAGGTGGACCAAGCCTTGAATGGGTACCGGGTGCAATCCCGGGAAGTAAAGGCGGCCGGCATGATGCTGAAGATTTTGCAACTCAAAATTTTGCCCGGGCAATGCCGTTAGGCAACTCTTTTCGATTTACAACTGCCAAGGACGTCCTAGAAAATAAGATACAGTCTTGTGTCAGTTACACCCACTGGATAAAAGATAGAGAACGATGAAAAAAAAAAAAAAAAAACTTGTGAAGAGACAGAAAAGTCGGAGGTATTCGTGTATTTTGTTTGTGGACCTATGCTCCAGTGTGGATATTTTTACAGATCTGGTACGCAGACTGGATTTGTGTGCAGGCTGTTGGGTCCTGTCCTCTCGTGCAGATGCACTGCGACTTCGACGTTGATATGTAATTCAGTTAGTCATTTTATTAGCCAATAATCAAGTCAGTTAAATAGTTATTCGGTCAGCCTGTCAAATAAATAATAATCGATTAGCTAGTCCACGGCCTACTCTATTTATATATATATATATATATATACAGAAGGACCTGGCTAGTCAATGGATCGCTAGACCACGACATGCTTCAGCTGACGGGCCGTGCTGCTGACGTCACCGGCTCGGGCTAACGATGCGTTAACACAGCAGTTCTCAAACAGGAAATTAATTATTTTCGACAGTGGCGAGGGAAGACAACTTAAATGTTAAGTATCTACGTGCCTTCTTTAATAATTTCACAATTTTCAGCCGACTTTTCTTCATTATTACTGCTGCACCCCTGGCATACGCTCACGGCACCACGTCTAAGAGCCGCTGCGTTAAAGCGTCGTTAGCCCTACCCGGTGACGTCAGCACCATCAGCCGTCAGCTGGAGCCGGTTGTGGCTGGACGGTGTACACACTGAGAAATACCGAGAACAATTTATCTAGAATATGTGCTGGAACCTGAAAGGCATAGAAATTATTGCAGACACACATAAAACATAGAGAAGGGTACAAAAACGTAATGTTAAAACGACGAGTAGACGGGTTGTTCTGCGTGCGATTGCAACAGATGGGACTACTGGGCATAGGATGCCTGATTGCCTATGCTCCACTGGGGCATGAAGGCGCGAAGAAAAAGAAGTAAATAGATCGGGCAGTCAATCAGAAAGTCACATTAATCATTTCATCAAGGCTAACCTGGTCAACAAACGTCTGCAGAAGTCGGATGTGTCGACCAAAAGGCGCAAATATTGCAGCCATACTGTAAACGGGCACGATGCAATTACATCTTCGGATGATATCAGAAGACAAAGATTTCATCATTCAGTCAGTAAACTAACCACAAGTTAGTTTAACGGTCAATTAAACGATTAATCATTCAGTCATTAAACTACTCATTCAACCAGTCTGTCACACAGTCAATGAAGCAGCCTACAAGCCGATCATTCGTTGAATTAATCAGTCAGTCAGTGTTCAGTCAGTCAGTGTTCAGTCAATGAGTGTCACTCAATAGCACGTCCTTGAGAATAAGGTTAATCTGTATGTCACCAAGACGGAGCTGTCGTAGTATAGCTGTTAAACGCTTGTTTGTGCATCCGAAGGTCGTAGGTTCGAATCCCAACGGTGCCAGACTTTTGTAAAAAATGACCCTGGCTCACAGTTCGATCCAGCCTCAAATAATTGCCAGGTAAAGTCCTGGGGTGCAAAGGAGGCCGGCGAGATGTTGACCCCATTACCCAGTGAGTGCGATTGGTCTATGAATTACAGGTCGAGTCCAACATGCCCAGTGCGCCTCTAGGTGTGGAAAACGGTCCTTTTTATTTTTTTTTCACTGCTGCAACTACTATACTACTGCTGCAGCTATTGCTGTTGTTTGTACTACTACTCAGCTACTACTACTATTACTACTACATTACTACTACTACTACTACTACTACTACTACTACTACTACTACTACTACTACTACTACTACTACTACTACTACTACTGTACTCCTACTAATACTCCTAATAAAACTCATCCTTCTACGTCTACTATTACAGCTACTACGGTTACTACACCAACTACCCATTTTACTACTGCTACTTCTACTAATACCACTACTACTTCTACTACTTCCACTAAAACCATCACCACTACTAATCATTCTACTAACACTACTACTACTACTACTACTACTACTACTACTACTACTACTACTACTACTACTACTACTACTACTACTACTACTACTACTACTACTACTACTACTACTACTACTACTACTACTACCGCAACTACCACTACTACTACTCATTTTACTACCACTGCTACCACTCATTCTACTACTACTAATACTACCATTACTAATACTACTACTGCTTCTACTACTACTACTACTACTACTACTACTACTACTACTACTACTACTACTACTACTACTACTACTACTACTACCACCACCACCACCACCACCACCACCACCACTACTACTACTACTACTACTACTACTACTACTACTACTACTACTACTACTACTGCTACTACTACTACTGTAGTAGTAGTAGTAGTGCTGCTGCTACTGATGCTGCTACAACTACCACAACTCCTTCAACAACTAAAAACAACTACTACTGCTGCCGCTGTTAATAAAATAATAATAATAAGCAACACTAAAGAAACTTTGCCAACCAACAAAATCATAATAACAGCGATTCCACGTCTGCTGTGCTGAATCGTGGCCTGGTCAAATTCTAATAAGTTCCACATCCAGTGTGGAGTTTCAGTATAGATCTTGCGCACCTTATAATTGCTGGAAGTGCAAGCATGTCGTTGTAAAAGTGTCTGTGATGATGGTGCATTGGTATCTAGCCGGAAGGAAAATCTCTAAGCAAGTTAGTACAGATAGAATCAAGACTTTTTCAAGGCTTAGATAGATCAAGATTCAAAGTGAAAAGCTAGTTTCTTTTAGGGGATTTCCAACCAACTTAGCAATTACTAAAACAACCAGGCAACCACAATTTCAAACTACTATTTAATCGATCAACCAATCAAGCTGCCACGGGTTCAGCAAACCAATATCCAGACAACCAACCAACCAGCCAACAAATCAACAATCCAACCAGTCAACAAATCGACCAACCAGCCCACAGATTCACTACCAAACCACCCAATCAACCAGTCATAAAATCAATCAACTAACCAACGAACAAACCAGCCAACAGACCAAACATTCAGTTAACATTCAACAATCCAGCTAACAAGTCAACCAACTAGATATCAAATAAAGTAACTTGCCAACAAACTAATCACACAACAAATCAGCTAACCAACCAAGAAAATAACCAACCAACAAGTCAACTAACTTTTTAACAAATGATGTAACCAACATATCAACGAACCAGACAACAAAATCAGTTACCCAAAAAACCAACAAATCAACAAGCCAACCAAATAACTAAACTATTGATGAAGGGGTTTTCGCAGCAACGTCCATTTTGTCACCCTGGAAAAGTACATTTACTAGAAACGTGTGACGTTTTGACCAGTCTTTCTCGGCACAAACTACAATAGCAACCAGGGGCAGAGTATCCAGACCACCTGTCATCATACAAAGAGAAAGGGTGGGATCAAATGATTAACTATAAAATAGAGGAAAAGGAAAAGGAAAAGCTGACATGGAACGAATAAAATAGGCTTAGGTGGGAAAATAGTAATAATGCTATCTGAAGGTTTTTGCCACTCCCTCATAGACTTCAAGAATCATGGTTGGCAAATCTGTAGGGCAAATCCTAATACCCAGTTTAACCTACAAATAAGTTAGAATTTGGTCACCTGTAAGGTGAACACTAACCCAGTGTAGCATACAGTTTTGGGCGAGTAGGAACTAAACGATTGATTTTTTAAAAATATTTTTCTCTTATTATTACTACCTGCTCTAAACCATGACCTGCTTTAGGGTACGTCTTGCATGAACATTTTCTTCGTTCTGCATCTGTGATCTTACTCCAAGTTTTGCATTCACCTGAAGAACAGAAGTCAGCCTTCACTTCCGCTGTAACACGTTCCTTTATAGTTGCTGACAGTCTCCGCTTGTTTATTCTCAACTTCTTTGTCCCCAAAAAAACACACATAGAATATGCAGATAACGATAACAACTTTGTCGGACCAGTTATTTACTATCGACGTTAGCGAAGATTTAGAATTAGAGAATTTTAAGGCGCTATGTGAGGTAGAAACAGGGGTACCTGCGATCGAGATGTCCATTGTTTGGAATGGGCGCCCACTGCACGATGACAAGTTGACTTTACAGCAGTATGGCATCAGGCACGGGGAAATTGTCCTTATCCAGCATCTGCGGGGTCAGTTAAGGCAGAATCATGGAGCTGGGGAACGGTCTCAGGCTGCGGGTAGGTCGGCTATGAACTGTTATTATTGTAACATTGAATAAGTATTACTATTACAAGAAAAACATTAACAAGGAACTGGAATGAAGAAGTAAATTAAATTTACAGATTTACTTAGTCATTGTCAGTGACCCATAATTAATTACTATGTAACTTTGTTATTTTACAGTACCTCTTCATTAATAAATCTTCCTTGCCAACTTCTGTATTCATAAGTAAGGGTTTTTGGAAGGTGAAAGGTGATTAGTTGTAGTAATTTTAAAATTAAACTATAGGAGTGTTTAAAAATGTATTAAACGCAGCATTTCAACCAACAAATATTTTCTAATAGCCAATTTTTTTATCTTCAAAATATTAATTCATTTAATAACACGTGCTGCAAATTAATTAAACTGCAGTTCAATGTGTGAATAAATCTACTCCATAACAATTGTTACCACTGACCGACCACGCCAGCCTCACAAAAACCGGAATTCCCGTTTAAGCTGTACAGCCTTATATCTGGAGCTAGCCATAGCTCTGACCAGGGCTGCACTTTAGAGGGTAAGGGGAAATGGGGCCACTGCCCAACTTGAATGTCGTGGAGGAGGCATCCAATTATGGGTGTTTACTTTCCAAGCCAGAGCGCAGATGCTTGGGAGGCAAGGAACTAACCATCTGCTTACAAATAAGCCTGAACCGTAAAAATTAATGTTAAAAAAACAACTCCTCAATTTCTGGAACAGGAGTGGGGAAACAACCAGAACTTTTTCACTGGAGTTCAGAGCCACTGATCAGTGAGAAGAAGGGTGTAGGCCAAACAATCATAACAATGGCAGTTGATCATGTGTGATTTAAATGAAAAGCACGTCATCCACCTTTACTTCAAAAAATGTTCTTGAGTACCAACTTTGGCTATTTTAAAGCCAAGATCAATTTAAGAAGTCTGCATCAATGCAAATTCCAATGCATGACCTCTAATCTACCTGGCAGTTGTGCTTGTCACTGTGCTATCACAACCCTCAGATACAAGTATTATTAAAGTATATACATAAGTTTCTTCTTCAGCAATTTGAGGTTCTTTGCTGCAGATACCGTGCATCTCCATTCCACCCCATTCAGCTTTTCTGTGTATAAATATAGTCTTTGTCACTCCAACAATCTCTTTATATGCCCCATCAATTGCAGATTTTCAGCCATCATGATGCCTGCAGTTAGTGGTGATTTAAACATAATTTCATTATTGCTTCTCTCTCCGTTCTCCACAGTTGGCATATTTGATACACACAAGTTGCATGTTTGATAAACACAAGTTTGCGCTTTATAAATAATTATACCTTGTGTGGGTTCCGTTGCCCTATTGTAGGGAAATCAAGAATATACCTATTGCCTGCCTAAAAGCATGTCATAAGAGTAAACTAATTGGGAGCTTCCTTCAAAGTCAGAGTGCATCTGCCTGAGAGGCAAGGAACCAACAGTCTGCATACAAAGTAGTCAGATCTGTCAAACGGATGCACACGCAACACTTAGGTTCTGGAACAGGACTGCAGTACAGAAGTGGACGAACAACCAGAACTTTTCGCCGGAGTTTACAGCCGGTGATTGCGAAGAAGAAGATATATAATTATAATATAGTAACTTAGTATGACTACACTTATTTGACATCAAGAAACAAAAGTTAATTCAGTCGTTTCAAAATTGTCTCCTTATTGTTGTTGATTGACTACAGGATTTCCTAACATTGACTTTGGGAGCATACGTCTGCCTGGTGAGGGCAGTGCCGGCCCCTCACGGCGGGAGGATGATCCGATGTTTATCAGGGATATGTTACTTAAAAATCCCAGCCAACTGGCTTTGTTGAAAGAAAGGAATCCTCCACTGGCTGATGCTTTGTTAAGTGGTGACATGGGTGAGTTTCATGTTGGCATATTTGCAATAATATTAGGAAGCAGATACAGTAGTACCTTACTATACATCCTTAATCTGTTCTATATCCTTGGATGTAAACGAAACAGGATATATACAAAATGAATTCTCTCACTAAAGAAGAATGATTAATCTGTACTCATGAAGAAAAGGAATCCTATTGTTTTTAGCGTATTTTAATGCGGTTGTATAAAATAATCCAGTAAACAAGAAGAAGATTAGGAAGATTGCTGAAATATGTTCCAATCCGAAAGGCTGTAAACCACAACACAGTATATCATCCACCATTTTTAGGGTGGACATAGAAGAAAAAGCAGAAGACTACATCTGTTGGTTCACAAATGCAGGTATTTTGGAAATTCTCAACAGTCCTTACTGGAACTGCTGAGTTCATGCTTTATATACATCTTTCGCAGGCCTCACCCGCTGTGACACAGAGTCATTTGTGAATAAACTCAGCGCAAATTGTAAATAGGAGCACATAAAGAGACAGACTGACTCTTAACTCTATTGCCCCTGCATTCATATTTTTAAATCCCCCAAACCTGGGATTGCCAGGAAATGTTTAGTCATTGAGATGTTGTGGTTACACAGTGGCTAGGGGCTCACCCTCCAGTACAAACATCTTAGGTTCAAATCTGCATCACCTTAAAGGTTCCATGTAAAAATTGTCGGAAGTAAAAGTGGCCAGTGTGATGTTGAACATAGCCGTCATTGAGCGCCAGATAGCCTATTTAAAAAAAATTATATGCCCAGCATGCAGCTGGCATAAAAAGGCTCCTTTTCAGTTTACTTGCTCATCATCACTTCTCTTTATGTCATGCGGCACATGAGGCTTCAGTGAGGACTTTCCATGTCAGAAATGCCGCACTTGGGTCAGTTTCCATCTTTTGTCTCGATGTTGTTTTTGGGCGACCATTTGTTTTTTCTATTTTCCTCTGGTATCTATGTGAGAGCTGTTTTGGCAGGTATATCAGGATTCACCCTTGCATTACAAAGTGTGTTCGCAGTGCCTATGCCACAGACACCAACAATAAAATTGTGTAAATGACACTAACAGTTATAAAAGTATGTAAAGGTCACTAACAGCCACCAGTCTCCAATGTTCCGTTTTAGTTTAATAGTCACTGCAGCAACTACTTTCTTGTCCGATACACTTTTGTCAATCTTAGCTTCTGTCACAGCCACCTATTGCCTTTATGCAGTCAGTGATTTATGTTTAGGGCACCTTGCCATATTTGTTCCTGCAACTGACAACATTCATAACACTCAGATGATATAACATGAAACAGCTCATCGTTAATGGGAAAAAATAGAACTTAATCACGTCACATGGGGCCTAACTCCATTACAGTAAAGGTTATCTTCATGCGGTCAATAAAAATTTTTATTTTTTGTAAATATAATCACATCCGGTCTATTTAAACACTGCACAGTGGCAAACAGTGCGAAATCGATAGGTATTTTGGGAACCAGACAGTGCAAGGAAATCGAAATAGAGGTTTCTCAGAGATTTGTAACTCATGATACCACCATGGAGAAACTTGAGTTTCTCAGGTTAATATGGCATAAGGATTGGATAACCTGTTTCTGATTTCAGTGTCTGTTGTATGATTGTTTTGCCTGCTTCACCTCAGACTGACCCAATATATTTGCCAGATTTCTTTCTGCCTCTGATAATTGTTGCTACAAGCTATAATCAGACATTTCTCTGGTTTGTTAATTTTTATTTTTATCACATTTGATGGTCATTAGTTTCCTCGGGTAACTAATTGAACACATCTAAAAAAAATTCGTGGCCATTCCTGGAATTCAAGCCAAGGTTTCCTGATGCATGGCACCAGTAACTTAGCCCTTTGGTGACCCTGTCTTCCATTGTAACCAGTGTTCTGCTTGTTTCATGTAGGAAAATTTGCTCAAGTGTTTAATGAACAAAGACAGTTGCGGGTTCAGCAAGAGCAAGAAAGGATCCGACTGTTGACAGCTGACCCATTTGATCCCAGCACACAGCAACAGATTGAAGAGACTATAAGGTCTGGTTTTTCTTTTAGACGCTGTTTCATTTCGTGCCGGATCTTCTTTTTTTTTCAATTTCTGTACAAAATAAAGAAGACCAAAAAACACAAAGAAGAGAGCTAGAGAGTGAAATTATAAAGATGTGGATGACATGCGAAGGATAGAATGACTTGGCGTGAGTTCGTTCTGGGCCTTTGCTCCACTGGAGGTTAAAAAGACAGAAGAACTACAGGTGTGACCCCTGAGCAGCAGATGCAGGCAGTGGTGAAATAAAAATCAGGGGACATGCTACAGCCATGAGTATCAAGGACCAAACTGCCTTTATTTCAGCAGGCTGTGATGAGAGCAATATTGTGTATAGATGAGCACATTGCACTTATCCCGGCCTGTTGACAGAATGGCCATTCACATGAACGACAACATTTGAAAAATCAAGAGCAGTAGTTAGATGCCTCCCCGCTGGTCTTAATGTAGTGGAACTGCAATATTCGTCATAAATCTGTTCCTGAGGGGTGGATGAATATCAGATGAGTCCATAGGAATTAACTAACAACGGTTTAATCCATTCCCAGGACTGAATTTTATTTATCTATTCTTTAACAACAAACTTTCAGTTGAAAATCGTATCAGAAATTGTTGCAAATACATTTTAAATACGTATTAACCACTGTACATATTACTGCTTTGTCATTGCAACAGAGATTTACTTGTCTTGATGATGTAAGTCAGCGCCAGTGGCTTAGTCATTACGAACACGCTTTGTAATGCCAGGTTCGATCCCTGCTGCGGGCTTTTTGTCTTGCGCTGGTTTTGACAGTGGTATTGAGAAGCTGCCTGTCCAGAGAGCAGTGGCAAACTGCTGGACTTAAATTTGCCTAGAAAAACAGCCAAAAAATGCTGGGGTTGGTTCTTCAGTGTCCTGTAAAGGATATGTAACTAACTTTTTTTTTTTTATATGATGACAATAGATAAAAGTTTAAATTAGAAATGTAATTTTCGGGTGAACAACCAATAGCGATTGTTTAGAAGGCTAGCCACCATCCATTATGATGTCAGGTGATGTTACTTTTGGTGATTGATGTCCTGATAAATACATCAGCATTTCCAGAAGATTACCCAACACTCATTTTTTTTTTAAACAAATGATCTGTTTGTTTTGTTGTGTTTTTCTGAAATGTTCCGAAAGTGTGCAAACTTATTGTCATCAAGTAAATTGATACACTGAATATCTATAGCGATGTTTGTGCCATTTCTCACTGAAAACCTGTAGTTTTGCCCAAGTTGACAGCTGTTTCTTAATTTCAGTATTTGGGACTGGCCCTTGAGCTTCTTTTGTCTCGTCTATTTCCTCGCCAGCCATGACGGAGGAAAGAAGAATATCAGACACAAATTTCAATGAAAAAGCAGGACAGATTTTTTTTTAAAAGACTTATATTGGTGTGGACGAACATTGGAGTTCCATGGTATCTTAGTTGAAAGCTGAACCAAATAAATGATTATCCCATTCTAAAGGGAATTTTAGGAAATATCACGGGAAGTAAAGGTGACTGGCATGATGTTGAGTACATCATCCATTAGTGTATAACAAATATGGACCTAGCACCATATGCCTGATGGACCCTCGGCATGAGATCTTAAAATAGCTAACAATTAAAGTTTGATGTCTGCTTACATTACCAAGGTAGTGGTTGACCATTAGAGTTCCTTCACAGTTGCAATGCATCTGCCGGAGAGGTGAGCAACCAAGTCTGCACACAAATAGGCAGATCTGTAAAATGGGCGCAAAACTCAAAATCCTGGAACAAGACCACAGTGTAGAAGTAGACGAACAACCAGGATTTGCCTCCAGAGTTTACAGCCGGTGAACACTAAGAAAAAGAAAAGGAAAGATTTAGCTGCATCGCCCTGGAACATCTCCAGTATAGTCAGAGAAGGAAAGGAAAGATTTAGCTGCATCGCCTTGGAACATCTCCAGTATAGTCAGAGAAGGAAAGGAAAGATTTAGCTGCATCGCCTTGGAACATCTCCAGTATAATCAAAGAAGGAAAGGCAGACAGAAGTGTTCATTCTGTGTATCCACTTGGATTTCCATTCGGCTGAATCCAGAGGAGCCATGTCAGGTCGTGGATGGTGCAACTTGTAAGTTTTTCTGTTCAGATTGCACTACCCCCGGCCTGTCATTGCTGTTAGGGCACACATCAAGGCATCAGTCTCTCCATGATTATGTTATGTTTAGCTCATGTCTTTGGGATGGTTTGTTGTCACACATAAATAATTATTGTTTATTTAGCAAATGATACATGATCATCTTCACTGCACATTAGGCATATCCGTAAGTGCTGTGATCTTCTTCCAGACAGGCTTCTTTATGTTTTTATGCTGACCACTCCTATTCTGTATTGGCTGGTGTAGTGACTTGGGGATCTTATATGGATTTGGCCTCATATTGCACCAGTGAATATGCTTAAACTTTGCAGCTTCATCAGGGAGGTCTTCAGTCAGGGAGCAATCCCTATCCTCGTGTTTGAGGTCTTCAGTCAGAGAGCAATCACTATCCTCATGTTTTAGGTCTTTGGTCAGGGAGCAATCACTAACCTTGTGTTTGAGGTCTTCAATCAGAGAGCAATCACTATCCTCATGTTTTAGGTCTTTGGTCAGGGAGCAATCACTATCCTTATGTTTGAGTTCTTTAGTCAATTTTAAAACAAAAATCAGTAGTCTTGTTTTAGATCTTCTTTCAGGAGGAAATTCACATGCTCATGTTTGAAGACTGCAGAAATTCCTTGAGGTCTCAGAGATGTGGTTTTACAGAACACCTAATATGAAAGGGATTAACAGCCAGCGGCAGTTTAACACAGTCTTTAGAAAGAGACAGCCATCAAATTTTTTTACCAGCATGTAGAGAAAAACTGGAGCAGTATTGTAATACCATGAAAGGTTTTATGGCAAGAGAGATCAGGAAAGAAGGTTTAACATGTTGTAATAGCATGAATGGTTTTATGGAAAGAGCTAAAGTAAGATAATGAAAGAAGGTTTTTTGACACTCTTTTGTTGTGGAACATTACCCCTAATATCCTGGTCGCCCACGTGGAAGCTGGTTTTGTACAATAAAATTGAGAACTGCGTAGATAAATTAAAAATTAACTATCAAAGAGAATTTCTCTGCATCAGAATAAAGATACTGACATCTTGAAATATCTGAACATCAAGGAAGATTGGCTAATGAACAGCATCCTGTCTCGGAAACTGAAATATTTTGGTCATGGCGGATCGGAAACAATTATAGCAGAAGGCATAGTACCAGGAAGGAGGGGCAGGGGCTGACCAACACGAAGATGGGCACAGGATATAAGTGACTCCTTGAGTATGAAATTGCATGAGGAGGGAGAACTGGCGAGAGACTGAGTTTCTTTCAGGCAGACTGGGATGAGAGCGACGTTCTGCAAAGGACCTGCTACATGATGATGATGATAACCGTAGGCACGATGGAAGGGACAGTTGAGAACATCCTGGCAGCAGGAAAGTTAGAAAAAGATATACAGAGTTTAAACTTAAAGCAACAACAACAAAAATGTTCAATTAAGAATCGACATCACAACATTCGGGACTCTTCCATAAGTTAAACTTAAAGCAAGGATAGGTCAACATGGATACGTTAGATATGCAGTCTGATTTAATGAAGAGAAGTTTCTGCGGATAGAAAACAGTGGAAACTTATTCTTGCCGGGCTAATAAAAAATATTAATATGGCTGTGATTGGTGTGTCCAGTAGGTTGTTGGTTGTGCAACTTTGTATCTTATTTATTTCAAATTGCACTTCCACCGGCCGTCTGGCTGCAGCATATATTCAGCTATATTCTTTCATGGACATGTTTTTCTTTCTTCTGGTTTGGGATCTCAGTTGCTGCTATTTTTGGCAGTTTCTGCCAGTTGTGTGATGTCAGTGGTTAAATGTGTAAGTCAACCAACACACAGTATTGAATATCTGTTACATTTGCTGATGAAACCTGGCTAGATATTTTTCACGTTCATCACGGTACATGCTACCTTGGGAGTTACAGGTTTGAATCCTCACTAAGGTAATTGTGTTTTGTTTTTGTGGAGGTGGTCTCGGGCGAAAAATAAAATCCATACCTGCACAGTCCATGGTGACTACACTAGGCATGAAGCCCTAAACCCTGAGGCTCATAGACACCTCCCCAGTGATAAATGCATGCAGGCATGGCAGTTTTCTTTCCCTTTAACCCCTCAAAACTCTTCATTTTGAAGGTGAAACAAGCATCAATAATTTTCTTTAATGTTCTCTTGGGGGGAAATCTTTGTGGCGAAGTGATTGTCATTGGCCCCACACTTTCAGGTATGTAGATTTGGTTTTGAACACTCCCTTTTGGTTCACAAGTAAGGGTGTGTTAATGATCCACTGGGGTTAACATTTTAGCCGTGTTCTTGTTTTTGTGTAATGCTGTCAGCAAGCTACAGGTTTTTAGTTTTTCTTCCACATATTATGTTGATGCTTATAATTCCAGCACACTGTGGGCATCGTTTCTCACTTTGACTCAGACATCGATGGTTTAGTTGGCATTTTCTTTAAAAGCATTTAATCTCACAAGGTTTGAATTTACATTTAAGTGCTAGTCTTTTAAAGTATCGCCCTTTGGCACTGTTAACATAGTGTGGGTATGGGCAGACTATTTATAATGTTGAAATGTTACCTTGTAGTGAAAGTTATGCTTCGATGACTTAAAAACATGCCAGGTTGTTTTTGTCACCATAGGTTAAAGAATGTGGAGACAAACATGGAAACTGCCATGGAGTTTGCCCCCGAAAGTTTTGGCCAGGTTCATATGTTGTATGTGGATTGTAATGTGAACGGACATCCAGTCAAAGCTTTTGTTGATTCAGGTGAGATAATGGGCCTTTCCATATCTTCTCATTCTCAGCCATATAGCTACACTGAAACCACTTCATTTGCCTCGACCAGTTGTTTCTTTAATATGTTTTTATGTGTCACTTACTTTGTATATTATTTTTATTTCTTATTTTAGATGAGACAGCATAATTTGACTGTTGCCACTGAGACAGCATAATTTGACTGTTGCCACAAACAGCATAATTTGACTGTTGCCACCGAGACAGTATTATTTGACTCTTGCCACAGAGACAGCATAATTTGACTCTTGCCGCCGAAACAGCAAAATTTTTCTCTTGCCACTGAAACAGTATTTTTTTACTCTTGCCACTGAGAGCAATAATGCATCATTCCACTCATTTGAGAAAACATCTGCCCTTATAAGGACAAATGCAGAAATCATTACAGCTATGATTACACTTATGTGACATTTGACAGTATGCTGTAGTTATTGCAACTGAGATGACAGTTATGTGTCATTTGACAGGTATACTCTAGTTATTGCAACTGAGATGACAGTTGGTTGTCATTTGACAGGCATGCTATAGTTATTGCAACGGAGATGACAGTTGTGTGTCATTAGACAGGCATGTTGTAGTTCTGAAGAAAGATGTTTAATGACAGATCAACTATATTGCGTTGGGTTATATTCCATATGATTTGCTGATTGGCCATAGCGCCCCTGGCATTCCCATAGAACAGTGGCTCTCAGCCTTCCTAATGCCGCGACCCTTTAATAGTTTCCTCATGGTGTGGCCACCCCAAACATTTATTTTCCTTTATAACTTCAATGAATATGTGGTAAAGTAGTTTGGCGGAATTTTTCCTCGCCTGGAGATCCCCTATAATCCTTCCTAATAATTTACAGGGCTCAAATTAAGAAAGTCTAGGGGAATTCTAACGGTCCCTGAGTTCATAAAGAAAGGAAGGAAAATGCAGAAAATCAAACCAATAGGGTGAATCCCCGGAATATAATGGAATACATAATTATTTTTCTAACTAAATTCAGAAAACCAAAGTTCAACACTTTGTAAATTGAACTCAAATAAATCACAATGTACAATACTTCGTTTACACAAGGAATTAAATTTGATACTAACAATGTAACTTCGATGTTTGAGTTTTAAAAAAAAACAACAATTGTATTGATATGATGCTGACTAAGAATCTTAACAAATTATTCAACTCAAAAGGAAATTAGCTCATCATTCCACATGAAAAAACCATTTCAATGTATCAACGTCACTCATCTCAACGATCGTTCAAGCTGAATACGGCGTTCTGTGGTATGGACAATACACTGGCGGCAACAATTGTAGTGATTGGATATCTGCATAAGTCTTCAGTTCATTTCGGAATCTCCTTCTATAATGTTGTTAACCATCCATGGGGTTACCGGGAACCTGAATTTGTATGATTTTATTATTATTATTATTTCTTGGTGGTAGGCCGATGGAATGGCTGGGGCTGTCGTTTGGTGTAGTGGCGAATCTAGCTCTTAAGGGTTTCTCCTAGTAACGTCATAAGTTATGTGCGCCTTCGTACATTTTCTACTCTTCTCGCGTCTATACTCAACTATATTTATTTTAAGTGCGCAATTCTTTCAACCACAAGGTGCAATTAACTCTTGCCGGACTGAAATATTCCGTTGGTTTGTTACATATGCCCCCGGAAAAGAAAATTTCAGTTACGAAATTTTTAATAGAGGAAATTTCAGTTCCTAAAGAGTTAAAATCAAAAGATTACTTTCTTGCAATCTCACACGTTTCATCATCCACTGGTATTCTACTTAAGAAATCTGCATCCACGTTTTCCTTTCCTGGAATATACTGGACAGTAAAGGTATATGGCTGCAATAATAACGACCACCTCATTAACCGAGAATTTAATCGGTTGGAAGCTGCCAAGAATGACAAAGGTTGGTGATAACTTTGTACTACAAACTGAGTTCCATAAAGATATGGTTGAAACTTCTGTGTTCCCCAAACCAAACCCAAACATTCTTTCTCTATGGTCAAATAGGCTTGTTCTGCCATATTTAGTTTTCTGCTGGCGTAGGCAACAGGAAAGAGTTTTCCAGGGTGTTAGTTATTTTCCTGGAGCAATGTAGCTCCTAATCCTATTCCACTCGCGTCAGTTCTTAATGTGAACTTTTTACTGATGTCAGGTAACTGTAAAATAGGTTTATTAGTAAGCCGATCTTTCAACAAACAGTAAGCTGTCTCGCATTCTGGTGTCCAGATAATTTTCTCTGGAGTTCCTTTTCTAGTAGCATTAGTTAAAGGACCAGCAATGCTATTAAAATCTTTGATACATTTTTGGTAGTATCCACATAGTAACACAAAAGATCTAACTTCCTTCTTGGTAGTCGGTCTAGATGCCTTAAAAAGTTTTTCAACATTCTTTTTCTCCGGATACATATATCCGTTCCCAATCGTGTGCCCCAAAAAATCTAGAGTCGGAAAGGCACTTTGAGGGTCTTGCAGTTAAACCGACGTCATTTAAACGTGTGAGAATTTTGTCAAGGGTTTCTACATGTTGATTAAAAGTTTTAGAGGCAATCAAAATATCATCCATGAAATGACAAATTGAGGAATCTTTAAGAGGATCAAGCAGCCTCCTCATCATCCTAGTGAACACTGTAGGAGCATTACAAAGCCCAAAGGAAACGAAGTTGAACTCGTAATGTCCTTCCGACGTGCTGAAACCCAAATATTGACATATATCAGGCTTTACTGGTATTTGATAGTACCCTTTGCTAAGGTCCATCTTTGAAAAAAACTTTGCTCCGCTTAATTTTGCGAACAGTTGTTTCTGATCTGGTAAGGGTTCGGGTTGAAACTCAGTAATCCTGTTAAGCTGCCTGTAGTCAATACACAAGCGATGTTCTCCACTTGGTTTACGTAACAATAAAACTCCTGCATTATACGGGGATTCCGATGGAGATATAATACCTTCTTTGAGTAGGGTTTGTATCTTCTTCCATCAAAGCCGTTTCCTTTGCAAACGGAATAGTTTAGGGCTTTTGACGAATAGGTTCTGAACTTTTGAGTTTCATATCGTACTCAATCAAATTAGTCAAACCCGGCTTATCCGTCAAAACATTACTGTGTTTGAGTAGAACCCGATTAATAGCTTGTTTCTGCTCTGGAGTTAAGGAAGAATTTACCACAACATCGTCAATGGATTCTTGCGGTTTTAAGGGGTATTCTGCTCCCATGTTCTCACCTCCCTCTATTTCTGTAGCCACTGACATAGCCAGCAGGGTTGTGGGGCACTCGGTGTTTCCCTCAGTATACTTCCTGAGAAGATTTATATGATATACCCGAGTCTTTCCTCTAATAGATATCTTATAATTGGTTCGGGAAACCTTCTCCACTACCGAGTATGGTCCCATCCACCCAATTTCTAACTTATTTCTTCCCTGGGGTAGCAAAAGCAAAACTTTGTCTCCAACGTTCAAGGAACGTTCCTTCGCTCTCTTGTTTTAACAGGCAGCCTGTTTTGCTCAGGCTTTTTTCAGATTATTGGCTGCCAATTCCCACCCCAGGTGAAGTTTTTGCTTTAGCTCCTCGACGTATTTTGAGGCAGTGACTACAGTCTCATCTACTGAGTCTTGAGTCCATGAATGCAAAAGGGCTTCTAAAGGCCCTTTTATGGGTCGGCCAAACAACAGAGTTGCTGGAGGCAAACCTGTGGAAGAGTGGGGTACCTCTCTGTATGCAAATAAGGCTGCTGGAAGGTACTCATCCCACATATCCGGTTTCGTATTGGCCAACTTCCTCAGAATGGTCATGAAGGTACCGTTAAATTTTTCTACAGTCCCATTGGACTGTGGGTGATATGGACTGGTATGGTTATGGTTGATGTGGAAAATGCGGAAGACTTCTTCCATTACTTTTCCCGAAACTGAGAGCCGTTGTCCGTCAGGATTTGGTGAGGAAACCCTAAACGGGTAAAAATAGCAACAAGGGCATTAGCCACCTGTTTTGAATCAATAGTGGGCAACGGTAGGGCCTCTGACCACATTGTGCAGGTATCCACTAATGTCAGGATATATGCATTCCTCGTCCGAGGCAGAGGTCCAATGATGTCGACCGCTACTCTCTGGAAAGGTTCATGCATAATGGGCATGTTTCCCAGGGTTACCGGCGGGTTTGAGTGTCTCGGAGAAAATCGTTGACACTCTGGACACGAGCGTGCATATCTCTTAATGAACCCCGTCATTCCTGGCCAATAATAATAGCAAGAAATTCTTTGGGAAGTTGCCGAGATCCCCATATGGCCACTATATGTGTGTCCCATATGGAGGATAGTTTTCCGGTATGGCAAGGGAACAACAAGTTGGCTCTGCTATCCCTGCTCTCCGGTACAATAAGTTTTTCTTCATATAGAAGTCTCCTCTTTCAAGAGGTTGATGGGCATAAGGCAACTTCCTAAGGCAGGACTTTAATGATGAGTCCTGTTGTTGCGCAGCACTTATGTCCTTTGGTAAAGGGTTCTGGATCAGATACTGCTGATGCTTTGGTTGGTGACTGGGTATCCATGGCCCCAACTAGCATAGGCGTCTTTGGAACTGCAAGATACAAATATTTGCATCCTAGTAAAACCGGAAATATTGGGTTAGGGAGACAACCTGCGACAATAGTTCCTTTTACATATTTGCAGTCGATGTTTACCTTTGCAAGAGGTAATCTTAAGGCCTCAGACTCGTGTGCAGCAGTCTGCATCTCTATAAATTCCCCAGTGTACTGCGTTGGGTCAACGAGTTCTGTAGAAACCAAGGCATCGAATAATAGACCCGTGTCAAACAAGCAGGTCAGTTCTTTGCCGTTCAAAAGGATGGTATCTACAACAGGAGGTCTTTCACCATCATGAGAGTTCATTATTGCATTTTCCTGTTTATCCTTAGTTAAACAGGCGGCACAGAGTTGAGGGGGTTTCTTTCGGCAGTCTGCTGTATTATGAGTATTCAAGCGACAATACTTGCAGTAAAGCCGGCCCCTCCACTCTGACGATTGCTGACTACGACCGTCACCCCTTCGATTATCTTGTGGATGGTACCTATGGTTGGTGTTATTAGTGTTTGGTGTGCTTGACTTACCATTACGAAATTCAGGTTCCCTATGTGTGATACGTTCAGTTGGCGTTTCGGTAAATTTGGGAGGGGATTTTGAAAGGTGCATCTTTGCCATGGCGCTCACCTGTTCAGGGTGTGCCAAATCATATCTCTCAGCCAGCTTTAATATGTCAGCAATTTTTTCCGCACCATTCTCAGTCAGAAAGGTTTGGAGAGGTTTTGACATAGACTCTTTTAGCTGTTTTGCCAACATCATTTCCTCTAGATCTTCATAAGTCTGGGTAAATGATGCTAAACTCTGCCATTTCAGCAGATAAGATTTTATTCTTGAAAAAAATTGAGAAATGGTTTCTCCCGGCTCTCTTTTTGCATTAGGAAATTTGTTGCGATATGCAGAGGCCGTCAACTCATATCTCTTCAACAGAGAATTTTTCAAGAACTCGAAGTTGGTCTCTTGACCAGGAGGCAATCTCGAATAACATTCATAAGAAGGACATCTCAAAGACAGCGACAGTTTCAGACACCACTTCTCTTTATCTAACAAATATGACCTAGCAAAGTTTTCGAATTTTTCCAAAAACACATCCATTCTATCCTCGCGTTCATTAAACTGAGGAAAAGGAAAAGACATCGGACCAAGAAGGTGAGGATGGCCAAAAGAATTTGCCTCAGAGGCAGAAGGTTGTGCATTAATTGCTGTACTAGAAGTAGAATGAGATTGTAAATCGAGCTCTCTGAGACAAAGTTCATGAGCTCTAATTTCCCGTTCTTTCTCTGCAGCTATCTCAGCCAGTCTTATGCGTTCTTGTCTTTCTTCCTGCTCCTTCCTCTCAGCTCTCTCTCTTTCCTCTTGTTGCATGCGTTCACCTCTTTCTCTTTCCTCTTGTTCTCTGCGTTCAGCCCTTTCTTTCTCCTCTCGCTCTTTCTCCTCTTGACGTCTTTCACGGTCCTCTTGTCTCCATTCTCGTTGTATTTCCTGAAGATATGCCTTTAGTTCTTCACCCGCATAACCGAGAGTTTTCCCTAGCTCTGCCATCTCCAAAAGTGACTGTCTTGTTGCCATTATACCTGCTGAATATACTTCAGAAAAGAACACACGCAAACACCAATCAAATTATCACAAGTGTAAAGTTACTGTTATCCTCCTTAAAGTTAATTTTTGCCTATTATTATTTACCTATAAATTCCTACAAATTTCCTATTAATGACTAACTTTTATAATGACCTAACTTCTGAAAAAATCCCGCGTTAGAGGCCCCAATTGAGGTAAAGTAGTTTGGCGTAATCTTTCCTCGCCTGGAGATCCCCTATAATCCTTCCTAATAATTTACAGGGCTCGAATTAAGAAAGTCTAGGGGAATTCTAACGGTCCCTGAGTTCATAAAGAAAGGAAGGAAAATACAGAAAATCAAACCAATAGGGTGAATCCCCGGAATATAATGGAATACATAATTATTTTTCTAACTTCAGAAAACCAAAGTTCAACATATTGTAAATTGAACTCAAATAAATCACAATGTACAATACTTCGTCTACACAAGGAATTAATTTTGATACTAACAATGTAACTTCGATGTTTGAGTTTTCAAAAAAAAAAAAAACAATTGTATTGATATAATGCTGACTAAGAATCCTAACAAATTATTCAACTCAAAAGGAAATTAACTCATCATTCCACATGAAAAAACCATTTCAGTGTATCAACGTCACTCATCTCAACGATCGTTCAAGCTGAATACGGCGTTCTGTGGTATGGACAATACACTGGCGGCAACAATTGTAGTGATTGGATATCTGCATAAGTCCTCAGTTCATTTTGGAATCTCCTTCTATAATGTTGTTAACCATCCATGGGGTTACCGGGAACCTGAATTCATATGATTTTATTATTATTATTATTTCTTGGTGGTGGGCCGATGGAATGGCTGGGGCTGTCGTTTGGTGTAGTGGCGAATCTAGCTCTAAGGGTTTCTCCTAGTAACACTACGGAAACGTCATAAGTTATGTGCGCCTTCGTACATTTTCTACTCTTCTCGCGTCTATACTCAACTATATTTATTTTAAGTGCGCAATTCTTTCAACCACAAGATGCAATTAACTCTTGCCGGACTGAAATATTCCGTTGGTTTGTTACAAATATGGGTGTTTTCTGATGGTTTTAGGCGGCCCCTGTGAAAGGGTCGTGACTGGCAGGTTGAGAACCACTGCCATAGATGCTCCATCTTCTGCAGCAGATCTCTTAAGGTGTGGAGGCTAACTGTTCCCGTAGCACACTGATCATACAAATGTTGTTCTCTTCCTCTCTTACATCTATCATTGCCAGAAACACACACTCTTACACCTATCCTTGCCAAATACACACACTCTTACATCTATCCTTGCCAAATACACACACTTTTACATCTATCCTTGCCAGATGCACACACTCTTACATCTATCCTTGCCAGATGCACACTCTTACATCTATCCTTCCCAGATGCACACACTCTTACATCTATCCTTCCCAGATGCACACACTCTTACATCTATCCTTCCCAGATGCAAATACTCTTACATCTATCCTTTCCAGATACACACACTCCTACACATGCTTTTTCATATAACCTTGTTTATCAGCATTCTTTGATAAATTGTCTTCAGAATGTCTCCTTTCCCCAGTATGTTTTCTTAGCTATCGCTTTAGTAGCCAGAAAATCTGCCTTTTCATTCCCTCACTTCTGCATATTGTGGGCAGTATGTCCACATAAGTCCATGTTGATGATTGGTATTCCATCATGCCAAGTGTGCAAAAAACCTGTGGCTTCAGCGGCAACTTCTCAGCTCTCCCTCTGATGATCTCACATTGTACCAGTGGCTTCATCGGAGGAGTGCTTTGGGGCGGATATCAGCCTTATCCTAGAAAGGGGAAATGCATCCTGAAAACTTCATGTTATATGGTAGGGCAGTCCAGGCAGTTAGCCTTGGTTGACAGGTGGTGACAGATCACAGCTCAACTGTGCTTTGTTCCACATGTAGTGGTGTTAACCTTTCATTTGAAGTAAACAAGCCAGACAGAGAGTGATTATGGACAGCATAGTCTGTATGATACTGGCCAGGCTTTGTGTCATGGAGAGGTCCTGAAGTCACATGCTCTAACTGTGGAAGACTTTTCTAAGTGTGGGCTGGTCTTCCTAGTGACACTTGCCACCGCAAAAGGATTTTTATATTCCCCCTTTGTATCTGAATCATTGGTTAAACTACTTCTGTCCCTTTGAGACTCAATTAAACCCTTTCATACCTAAATATTTTTTGCTCTTAAGCTCAGCTCTTTGAGTTTGAAGGAATTTAAGTCAGATCTGCTTGGGACGGAGAGAGTTAAGGGCAAATGCTAAAGAAGAAGAATGGGGAGTCTTAACCCGTGTTCTTGATAGTTTGAGGCAAATGGCTTACCCGCTTCACCTGTGGAGTTTCCCTATTGTATAATGTTTGTTCTGTGATAATTATTTGAAAGTATTTGTTCTTGTCATATTTCCAGGGGCCCAGATGACAATCATGAGCCAGGCCTGCGCGGAGAGGTGCCACATCATGAGGCTCGTCGACAGACGGTGGGCTGGCATTGCTAAAGGTGTTGGCACACAGGCCATTCTGGGCAGGGTGCATTTATGTAAGTTTTTTTAGGGCCATTCTGGGCAGGGTGCATTTATGTAAGTTATTTTTAGGGCCATTCGGGGCAGGGGGCATTTATGTAAGTTATTTTTAGAGCCATTCTGGGCAGGGGGCATTTATGTAAGTTTTTTTTTAGGGCCATTTTGGGCAGGGTGCATTTATGTAAGTTATTTTTTAGCCAGTCTGGTCAGGGTGCATTTATGTAAGTTAAATTTGATGTATCTTCTTTGTTTTCCTCATTTATTTATTTTTTATTTTCGCGTGAAGATGAAGATACCAGTAAGGCAGATTCCGAATGTACGATCCTGTCGAAACAAATTTATAACAAGAATCCAGCAAGTATTTTGACAAAACTAGATCACAGATAAAGAACTAAGGATTTCTTTTTCACGTTCATGCTGTAAACTCCGGTGGAAAGTTCTGGATGTTTGTCCACCTCTGGACTTTAGTCTTGTTCCAGAACCTGAGTGTTGCATACATATCCATTTCGCCTGTCTGGTTTATTTGTATGCAGACTCTTGGTTTCTGGCCTCTCAGGCAGATGTACAACTTTGGAGGATGTCCCCAGTTGTCTCCTATGACATGCTTGTCCTTGTTGAGGAGGCAGTGGGTCTATTCTTGTTTTCCCACAATGGGATCCCAAGACCCACATGGGGAGAACTGTGGAGGAAAATGAAATGTTTATCACACGTAAATATTTTTAAGGGAAGAAGATGCAGACGACGTAGACATGTTTGCAGGATGCCCCAGGATACTTTTGCAGAAACCAAACACTAGTTTGCGGCAGATGGAACAAGGAAACAACCAAATTAAACTTGAAGGCGGACAGCAGACATGGAAATGAAGCAGTAGGAACTGATGTGGGAAACTGTTTGCAGGAGTCAGTACCATACTGGCAGCAGTTGAGATCATTTGTGGAGGTGTGGCGCGGTGATTTCGGTCACAGGCATGAGGGGAAGTTAAGTCTGATGTGATGTGTATAAGGAGATATTCCGTACCCCACTCGGGCACCAGTCTTTCACTGTTCTGGTTTTACGGAACCTCATGCAAGACTCCTGTCGTGCGCCACGGATAATATCTCAAATGAGCATTAACAGAGTTGGCAGGGGATCTCGGAGCTGGCGGCCCCTAGAGGTGTAGAGTCCTTTCGGGCTATCACCAGCCCGCCCCCAAACGCATGGGTGAAAAGTAACAAAACTCAAGGATTGCCTGCTAAATGTACCATCAAATGACAACTCTTGGTTAAAATTCGGGAGCGAACGGAAAACTGTGCTGCTGAGACTCAACCCTGACCGAGAGATTTACCCGCAGCCAAGACGAGTAACATCTCTTGTGGGCGACTTCTCGCAGCAAGATCCTACCTACGTACATCCTCTGTCAATCCTCAGTGTTGTCGTCACCGCGCTGAGGAACACCATGGCAGCAACTATTCATATGCTGGCTTGAAAACAATGTCCGACAAAGTTACACCCCACGGCACACATGCAAGCTCAGAGTCTGACGATCATAACTCGTACCGATTAGGAAAAGTCTGAATGTCCGTATCCACTGGTCCAACTCGCCCAAGTGTTGGGACCAAACAGGTGCAGCCACGCCTGACGCATTTTGCTTCCCCATTCTGTCGTGCTAAGGGCACAGCTGAAACAACGTTAAAGGTGTCTAACGTAAGATGAAAAAGAATGTACCTATTTGTGTGGCCACAAACGTCCTAGACCTGCGGGCTGCTCCCCGCTGATCTCTGGAGAGCGCAGCCTTGTAGCACAGGAAGCTCAATACACGGTTGTGAGGTTAAGCAGTCATGGGCAGGACGTGACGATTCCTTGGGTGAGCCCAGAACCAGGGCATCATGTGTCGGCTCTGCATTTATGGAAGCCTCCTTGGATGGCTGGGAATGCCCATGATCCGCCCCTGCCTTCCCCTGAGGGCTGAAGACTCTACATAGAGCTGCCTTAAGGACGACATGCCGGGGGCCACACCTGTTAAAAGTCAAAGAGGACACCACACAAATAAGGCAACATCTCGACCCACACAAAACAATGGCCACAGTCAACCTAGAAATAGGCTTGACGTCTTCCTCCGAAGTCGGAGTACATCTGCCGGAGAGGCGGGGAACGAGTACTGCAAACAAATAAGCCAGTAAAACGGATGTACACGCAAAACTCAGGTCAAGGTAAAAGCCAAAAGTCCATTTTGGACGAACAACCGTGACTTACCGCCGGAATTCACAGCCGGTGAACAAGAAGAAGAAGATTTGTGGAGGTCTTATGTGTCAACAGTGGCAGGAAGAGAATATTTCTTCTTAAGAGTTCACAGGTTGTATACTCAGTTGCAGTTGCTCTCCCCAACTGGACTTTAGATCTTGTACCAGAACTTGAGTTCTGCATGCACATACATATTATAGATCTGCCTTATTTATATGCAGACTGTTGATTCCTTGCCTGTCAGGCAGATGCACTCTGACTTTGAAAGAAACACTTTTAACAGGTCGCCGTTTGTGGCATTCTTTATATAGGAATATTAGGTCACTTTCCCTCCCCCTTTTTTCCAAACTCACAACTGGAATGAACAGAAAACAGATTGATTCCTAATGTGACAGAAATATTTCACTTGTCTCTTGCAATTTTTTCGGCTTCTTTTTTATCCCCACCCTCTTCAAATTCTCTATATTTCATTGTGTTTGTTTCCATGAAATTGTTCTTTCTTTCTGTATCTCCTGAACTTTTTGTATTTGATTGTGTGTTTGTCTACATAAGATCTTTTTTTTTTTGGTATATATAAAATAAAAGTTAATTCTAGCATGTTGTTTCCACAGGTCAGATCCAGATCGGGGATGTGTTTCTGCAGTCATCGTTTTCTATACTGGAGAACCAACCCATGGACATGTTGTTAGGATTGGATATGTTGAAAAGACATCAGGTAAGGCTCATGTTTTTAGGTGCTACTTTCTCGACTCCTGCCCCAGACAAAAATTGTCAGTAGATGCTCAAAAGAGAACAGCGACGACAATGAAAAATGTATCTTCTTTTCTTTCTAACTGCCGGTGGTTTTCAGATGAGGAAGCCACAGGCATCTATGAATTCTTTGGTGGCGCACATGCCCTCCACTAATCTGTACAGTATGGTTTCCACTAAAATGCTAACTGGCCAGGCCTGAGATCTGTCTATTGCATGTAGAGATCATGTCTGGAGCATATGTTTACCTTTCTGGGATGTCTGGCCACATGGGCAGAGTTGAAAAATATATCATAAGAGGGGAAGTCAGAAATGTTTGTTTAAAAAATACTAAATGATATAACAGCTTGAAAACTTTATTTTTACCAACATAATTTCCTCTAACATTGATGCACTTGTCCCATTGTTTAATCAGTCCTCCAGACCTGCTGCATAGAACTACGTGCTTTGTTTTATAAACCAAATTTTTACTTCACATTCAACTTCTGTTATTTGCGAAATTTCTCCTGCCAAGCCAAGGTGGGTTTTCAAAAACGGTTGAAATCGCTAGGGGCTAAGTAATGGCTGTGAGGTGGATGTTTCAGAAGTTCCCACCCTAGATGGTTAATTTTCTCCTGAGTTAACTGAGCCATTTGTGGTCTGGCATTGTCATGAAGGAGCAGTACTCGTCTAGTCAGCAGGCCTGGACATTTCCTTCGAATTGCAGCATAAAGCTTTCTCTTTGAGGTACACTCCATAAGTAAGTTGCCGTTTTGTTTCTGCATTGTGAATGTGCATACAACACCTAGCGCCACCTAGCAAACAGAGACGTAAAGTTCCATGTTGCTGTCACCTAATTACACCTTCAGAAACCAGCAACTGCATTTTCCTGCCATCCCATTTACCATTTGTGGCTTATTGACTTTCTATCATATATTATTTTTATATATATATAAATATATATTTTAAAGTGTCTGAAGATTTACCAGCTAAAAAAAGCCAGGATTTTATAGTATGCTGGGCTGCTACTACTTCTTAGCATTCGCCGGCTGTTAACTCTGGCAGAAAGATTTGGTTGTTTGTCCACTTCTGGACTTTAGTCTTGTTTCAGAATGTGAATTTTTTCTGCGGGTCTATTTCACAGACATGCTTGATACTGAGGCAGTGAGTCTATCCTCCTCCTCTCTCCCCCCTTTCCCCTCAAATTATGCCCCAGAACCCAAACATGGAGGTAGTGGGCCAACAGGCCACTTAATAACTAGGGTTCCCTACTATAACTTGTATATGTTTGATCGAGGCAGTGAGTCTGTTCTCCTCCTCCTCCCCCCTTTCCCCTCAAGTTATGCGCCAGAACCCAAACATAGAGGGAGTGGGCCAACAGGCCACTTCATAACTAGGGTCCCCCACTGTAACTTGTTTACGTTTGATTGAGGCCCACGAATATACACAGGGACTGTTAGATATCTCAGTATCTTCTATGTCTCTAATTCCTGTGTACTACTTGTATTAAATATCTTAATGTTTACATTACATGATCTGATTCCATATGTTATTTTAATGACTACTCAGCTCTTGATCTTTTATTAAAGATCTGACACTTATCTGATCACCGTTTGCTACTTATATTGTATTAAATATCTACATCCCAAGATCTTATCTGTGCTATAAAGGTGCTGCAGAGCAGAGGTTATGTGCTTGCCTATTGATCTGAAGGTTTGGAATTCAAAACCACATTAGTTCCGTTTTTTCCCCCATATAAAAGATCTGAACTTCCATGTCAATCTAGCATAAAATAGTCACTGGGAAGTAAAGGCAGCCGGCATAATATTGAACACTTCATCCATTGCATGCTGATTGTTCAATAAAAATATATTTGGTTTTAGCATTGCATTACCGATATACAGTTGGCACAAGAAGACTATGTTAACCCCTGTTTGTGATCTTATATTAAATACTTGAATATCTTTCTGTTTCCCAGTGTGTGATTGATTTAAGAAAAAACCAGCTGGAAATCGGCACCACGGGCACGATAACTCCGTTTTTAGGGGAAGCTGATTTGCCAGAGCATGCTCGTTTAAACCAGCCAGGCTCTTCTGGCCAGGATGATGATCACGATCTAACAGAAGCACTGTCCCGTTCAGTTCAGGAGACAGGTGCAGGTAATATAGTCTTTGACATTGAGATTTTTACTTTATCACTTTATTGAGATTGACTCTTTGTCACTTCACTGAGATTGACTCTTTGTCACTTTATTGAGATTGACTCTTTGTCACTTTATTGAGATTGACTCTTTGTCACTTTATTGAGATTGACTCTTTGTCACTTTATTGAGATTAACTCTTTGTCACTTTATTGAGATTGACTCTTTGTCACTTTATTGAGATTGACTCTTTGTCACTTTATTGAGATTGACTCTTTGTCACTTTATTGAGATTGACTCTTTGTCACTTTATTGAGATTGACTCTTTGTCACTTTATTGAGATGGACTCTTTGTCACTTTATTGAGATTAACTCTTTGTCACTTTATTGAGATTGACTCTTTGTCACTTCACTGAGATTAACTATATTGAAGTGGAAAAAAAACCTTGAGAGATCTGTATGGTAAAGCCATAATTTAAAACAGCAGGCTAATATAAATATAATAAGTAAACTGTTTCCGTGTATCAAGCATATGGTTTAAATATTTATATACTGGTTTGAACAAAGGATAAACATTGCACACGAGAGTAACCCATAAGTGCTCCGTTCGTATTCTAACTCAAGTCTGAGTCCGAAGACTTCCAGGAAAAGATGAAAACCCTCACAGTCTTTTTTGATATGTCCAAGGCCTTTGACAAAGTATGGAAGGATGGCTTGATGCTAAAGCTCTTACATAGTGGAATAAGAGGCAGAATGTACTACTGGATACAAGACTTCCTATCCCACAGGCGGGCATCTGTGAAACTAGATGAAGCTTGTAGTCCCAGATTGAAGCTGAGAGCAGGAGTACCACAGGGTAGTGTACTGTCTCCAGTCCTGTTCCTGATCTACATCAACGACCTACCTCAAGCTTTACCCAGACATGTATCACATTCTCTTCATGCAGATGACCTAGCTGTGTGGTACACCTCTGAGTTCATTGGACCTGCCATATCAAAACTCCAGGAAAGTGTGAATAGTGTCATAAACTGGGCTAACAAATGGGGCCTCGAAGTAAACAAGAACAAAACTGTAGCAACACTCTTCTCAAAGGAGGAAAAGTTTACATTAAAATTCAACAATGATGCTGTTCCACTCTCCAATACTCCAACCATCCTGGGAGTCAAGCTTGACAGTCGTCTAACATGGAAACATCACATACTAGAAACTAACAAAAAAGCTATGAGAAAACAAGGTGTGATGAAGAAATTGGCAGGCACCACTTGGGGAGCAGACAGTTGTATCCTGAAGCAGGTATACACCGGCACAGTCAGACCAACTCTCGAATACGCATCATCGTCATGGATAACAGCAGCCCATTCCAATAAACAGATACTAGACAAAACGCAAAATAGAAGTCTGCGTACAATTCTGGGAGCCATAAAATCTACACCTATTGTAGAAATGGAAAAGGCAGCCAACATCATCCCCTTAGAAGAAAGAAGAAGGACAAAAGCAATTCTACATGCTGAAAAAATGAAGAGAATGCTAAACCACTCATTACACGAAAAATTGGCAGCCAGGACAAAAAAACGAATAAAGCGCACAAGCCTAAACCATCTGACTAAGGAATTTGGAAAGTCATTCTCTTCACTACTTAACCAACAATGTACACCTGAAGAGCTATCTTTCGATCTCTGGGACTCCGAATTATTGACACTCAATGTGTCAACATCCATCCCCACCAAATATATGGTTGACACATTCCATTTCTGGGGACAGCTTTTATCCAGTTTCCTCTCTAGACAGTTGCAGTCCCCTGCTGACAAGATTTTGTCTTCCCGAGTGGACCGCAGCGATCAAAACGTTGCGAAGGCAGCGTGGTCGAGGCTGTTAAAACTATCAGTCATTATCCTGCCCCGACACAGCACAACCACAATACACACTGCTCCCACGAAAAACACATAGTTAGTATCCTGCGTTAGAAATGCGCATAAAATAGCAGTCCATGATTAGGAAACAGAATAATCCAAGAGAATTGACAGCCAGCGAAAATAAATACAGCTGTTTTCCGCCATTTTGAAAACGGAAGTCATACTTGGTGAATATTGTGGACGGCATCACGGCAGCCATCTTTACTTCCCAAGATTTTCCCAGGTGCCTATTTTAGGCTGGGAGCCAATGTCAATTTTTAAAATGTTCACCATGGTTAGAATGTTCTTCTTAGCGTTGACTGGCTGTAAACTCTGGCAGAAAGTTCCCATGGTTCATACACTTTTGGACTTAGTCTTGTACCAGAACTTGAGTTTTGCTTGCACTTCTGGTTGACCATTTCAGCTTATTTGTATGCACTGTTGACTCCTCACCTATCAGGCAGGTGTGGCCGGCTGGCTTGTATTTTTTGTCTTTCTACGCTGAGGCTCGGGTCTCTGGTCCGTGAGGACCCCCATTTCAAAATGTTGGCCCCTGGGTAAACTTAGTTGAATAGTCCTGTTATAGACAAATCGGCACTTAGTCAGTGATCAGTCCTGCAAGTTTTTATAGCAAATAATTGTTTACATGGTTAGGTAGCTGGGAAATAGAAGGCCTGAGTAAACTTTTTTTTTTTCAAAAATGACCCAGTCTCTCAGGCCTCTCTGCCTTATATGGGTCCTCAGAAGTAAAGGTGGCCGACATGATGTTGACTACATCACCTACAGAGTGCTGATTAATCTATAAAATAAAGATCTAGCCCTGTATGCCCAATTCGCCTGATGGCATGGAGAAGGGTCCTTTGCTTTACTTCTTGGATGGTGGGGAATGCCTGTACTCTGTCCTGCCTTCCCTTGAAGGTTGACTAAGCTGCAAGAGGCTGCCCTGACTAGGTTCCCCCATGGGCAACACCTCTGCATCAGGGAAAGACTAACTCACCACACAGATGAGGCTACAAATTTCCCACAGAAGAAATAGGGAGGCTTCAATGTCTCTGCTCTTTCTTCTATCTGGCTCTAGTCACTGCAAGCTCCCATTCATGCGCCGACCGACAACACATGAAAAAAACATGGAGGATGGCGAAGGATACAAAGTTATGTCGCTCTTTATTTGTTCACTCGCTGTCACTTCAGCCAGTACATGTTAGGGTACAACACAGTCACTCATATCTATCATATCTCACCGAAAGTATCAACTTTACCTTAAGCTGGACGTCTCCATCACTACAGCAATTAAAATATAACGACTATTTTCCATCCGAACAAAAACTCACACAATCAGCTGGCTGCGGGGTTTTCATCAGTCATTGCTGTTGGCCAAGTAGGCGTTGGGAAACTCAGACATATCCGACTCAAACACTTTCTGGATCCGACAGACGCTCCTCCATACTTCATGTATTCATTTCCTAGGCCTAAACGAGACTGCCCACATGCTCTTTTTAAGGCATTATAAAACCTTCTAGCCCCCCCCCCCCCCCCCCCCCATTACAATTACAACTTCTCTGGGTTCTCAGATTCACACAGGTTCCATTCGGCCAACATTTTCTCAGTGATTTGCGTGAGTTTCATTTGGCCAGTATTTTCTCTGTGATTCACGACTCTGCCCTTCTTGCATTTAAATCTCTTATTCATATTTATTAGCTGACGTCATTCCGTCTGGGGCATAATTTGAGGAGAAAATGGGTTCACTACGAAGGCCAACATCTTTCCTGTAGCAACATATGTATGTTAGTCATGGACTATCTCCCAGTCATTAAGAAAGAAAATAGAGGCTTTTGAGCTGAAATGCTAAAATTTCTCAAAATAACTTGGACAAAGAAGAGGAGAAATGCTGACATCTTGAAAGATCTGAGCATTAAGGAAGATTGGCTTAGAAACAGCATCCTGTCTCAGAAGCTGAAATAGTTTGGTCATATCAAGCGCCACGGCGGATTGGAAAAATTATAGCAGAAGGCATGGTACCAGAAAGTAGGGGCAGGGGAAGACCAACACGAAGATGGGCACAGGATATAAGTGACTCCTTGAAGTACATGAGGTGGGAGAGCTGGCGAGAGACCGAGTTTCTTTCAGGCAGACCGTGATGAGAGCGATGTTCTGCAAAGGACCAGCTACATGATGATGATGAACCCCATTAACAATGTTAAAAAAAGTTTGATGTTTCAGCCGAAAGGCGCAAATATTGCAGCTGTGCTATAAAGAGGCACAAATTGTTTGTCACTTGGGCTAACAGTGAAAAGGATGAAGAAATCTTTTATCTGTGGTTACTAATTGCTGTAAAACTTTTTTGAAAATAATACTAATGATGGTTTGAACCATTGCCTTTTATTTTCCTCAGGTGGGAACTCATTACCTGCTAGTAAACCCACAGCTTCAGCGGCACCATCACAGACATCGTCATCATCAGCTTCACAACAGTTCTCAGAAGCAGTCGTCACTCGCCTTATGTCCAACGGTTTTCCCCGGCATGCTGTCTTGGAAGAGCTGAGACGCTCAAATGGGGACGCAGACCAGGCTTTGGCCTCCTTGTTTTCTAAATCGTTTACCATGCCTTGAGAGGCTTGGGTTTGAGTACGGGTAGACGACTTCCAAACATCTTTACATCCATACTACTGTATTTTGTCTCCATGTTTGGGTAACATGTATCTTTGTCAGTCATGGCAAGAAAAAAGGTTCTCATGGTCAGTGAAATCATGACTAGAAGAAACATCTGCTTGCAGCAGGGATGTGGTTTGTGAGAAGAATGCAAAGAATATCATGGAAGGATAGAAAACAGACCAAGCAGTCCTCCTGGAGACTGATGAAAACCCTTAGACTGATTAGAGAAGTGAAATGTAGACAAGTCATCATATTTTGTGGACATGTTTTGAGAAGGAGTGGAATATGACTGGCAAGATTGGTTGCAAGGGGGGGGGGGGCTTCTTTAGTCCTGTTCTGCCCTTCAGTGTCAGGTTTTTGAAGAGGCCTCAGGTGCCATCCTTGGTCTGTGTTACGTAGATGCTGGTATTTACGACGTCAGATAATCCATCCATCTACCTATCGCGTGCGTGGTCGACCCTCGGGCTCAGCTGCCATTGTGTCTACATGGCAGGGCTTTGTTTCACGGTCTGGTGGTGATCTTAACACATGTTTGAACCATTTAGTACTATTTAAAGGCAAGGCAAAAGGTAAATATCTGGTTGGCTTGGACGTAAAGATGGGATAAGACAGGAGCACTGACCTGATCCATGATTATGGTGGTCATATGAAGTAACACAACCAGCTGTCTTTTATTTGTCACTCTAAACACAAGACATTTGTCTTTTATTTTGTGTGTGACTGTGAACACAATAAGCTGCCTGAAAAAAAAACATGAAAGGAAGATAGGGTCAAAACAAAATGGGAGAAGAAAATGAAGATGTTTAGGGAGATTCTTTGATTTTTCTGCATTCGTCCAGCAATGTAATTGCGCTTTGCCTGTTTACAGCATGGCTGCGATATTTGCCGACACATCTGACTTCTTCGGGCATTGGTTTCTTGGGCTAGCCTTTCCAATTTTGGGGAGATGGCTTGTATCTCCATGTTGACATTGCTGTATCACATGTATGTTTTGTAACATTTGTATTTTGGCAACACTGTTACTTAAAACAATCTTCATTTGCACTCCAGGCGCACTCTTAGGTGCTTAGTATTTCTTAGCAGATGAAGAATAATATGTTGCTTGTTTATGTGGTGCATTTAGTGTGAGTTTGCCTACATTGACGTCGGAGCTGCAGTAGCGCAATGTCTGGAAGCTTGCCTACGAGGTCAAAAGTCTTGGCTTCAAACATGCATGGGGTTAATTTGTTATAATTGACTTTAGCTCCCGGGTCAAGGATGTTGATTCCAAGGTTTCACCATCATCCTCCGTCTGTGGACAGGATGTTGCTTGTTGATTACAAGGTTTCACCATTATCCTCTGTCTGTGGCCAAGATGTTACTTGTTGATTCCAGGGTTTCACCATCATCCTCTGTGGCCAGGATGTTTTTATTTCCAGAAATTAATGCTTCAGCTCTCTCTCTCTCATGTGTAGTTGTAATCTGCTGGTCAGTGCTCAAGCCTACCAGTGCCGTTATTCAGGTTCGATCCCCTGAAATAGTTGGACTTCACCACTTTCTCTAGTCTCCCCCGCCCTATTTTGCTCACATTAAACTCTTGCATCACACACTATTGATCACTCTTTTTAAACATTTTTTGTGTGTTTGGCTTTGCTGTGTGAAAGGGTTGCCACCAAAGTGACCTGATGAGCCAAGCTTTAGATGTTGAACTGAACCACAAAGAACAAATCTGCATCCCCATTCAGCCTTACAAAATTGATTTCATTAGAGATAGTCCTTCCATGCTTTTATTTTTTGGTCATTCTTTTCACTCGCTTTTTCACTTTGACTAGAACAAACCTTTCCAGTCTATCTCATTTTTTGGCTCACCATTTCATATTTACTCAGTTAAGTACAGGATTTTTAAAAAATTCATTTTAAGAATTTTAATCTCCTGTAATTTATTCACTTTTTTTTATTTATTTTTTTAAAACTCTTTCGTTCCTAGACAGTTATTACTTCGTGTTCGTTCTACCCAGAGTTGTTATAATTTTTAATACTTTAAAATATTGATCATTTAAAAATATGTGTCTAACACTGTGTATCAAGGGAACTCTGGTTTCCTTCATGGCTAAGACAGTCTCCTGAAAGTATTGTCTTTGAATCTGCGAGTTAAATGTTTTCTTTTTCTCGGCCGACCCAGCCTAGAATGGGTGCACGGCAAAAGTCATGGAAAGTGAAGTTGGTTGGCGTGATGTTGAACACATCATCACCCACTTGGGTGCCAGTCAGGCGCATTAAATGCCCAATCCGTCGCTGGCATGTATAGGATCCGTTGCTGTAAGTGTCATATATATCGAATTGGCCTTTGGCACTAAAAGGGTGTTTTACTGTATGGTTTATGTATTATTGTATCCTTTTTTGTGAGGGTTTTCTTTCCAGTTGTGTAAACATTTTAATTGTGTGTGTATGGAGAATCGATGCCTGCTCTTTCACATTGTAATGAAGTTTTTAGAATGATTATAAATACATTTTTTGTAACAACTATTTTGCTTTTTTTTTTATTATTGTTACGAGTGATTTATAACCTCTTTTGCTGTTTTTTTTTTTTTGTTACGAGGGATTAATAACATCTTTTTTACTGTTTTTTGTTGTTACGAGTGATGTCAAAAATGAGTCAGACAAATTATTTTTTGTGATGTATTTTCTGCTTTTTATTCTTCTCCTCCTCCAACCCTGTTCTGCCTTTCAGCATCGCGTTCTCAAGAGGCTACAGGTGCGAGACTTGGCATGTGCTATGTAGATACTGGTATTTCCGTATATTTCATCTGTGCATTACTTGCATGGTTAATCGCTAGCTCTGCTTCAATTAGGTTCTAAGTGATGGGGCTCTCTATAGTGCACTGTTTGTAGTTGTACATTTCTGTTCCAGTTGCTGTAACTTGTTATTCCTATTCTAGTTGAGCCCTTTTGCCATTTTTATTCTCTTTGTCAGTTCCAGCTGGTCTCTGGAAAGTACATACAACATACTGATATGTGACACTTGCCTGCAGCATGGAGAATTTTGTGTAATTAACTTAAAGCTTCCAAGTTGACTTGAGTCTAAATTTGGTGTCAAGAAGTGTAATGTGTTCAACAGGCAATCCTAGAGATAGGATCGGTCTGCCTTCGAAGTCTGGGTAGATCTGCCCAACAGCCAGGGGACAAAAACTGCACACAAATTAGCCAGTAAAATGGATGTACGCGCAAAACTCAGGTCCTAGTACAAAATCGAAGTGGGCGGACCACCAGGACTTTCCACAGGTGAACGCAAACAGTAAAACAATAGGAAACACATTTTAAAAAATGGCAGCGGCATCAGAAATGATTAACACATTTGGTTAGAAAATATAAATAATTTAATATATACCATAGCATGTTTTTTAATTTGGTAGTTAATGTGTTAGGGCCAGATAATGTGGGTATATACACAGTATACTATAATGACATGAATACACGTTCCTTTACCATACTGCTCCTCTTGCCTTGTGCAAAAAAGTATATGGTACAACATATGAAATAATTGATTACACTGGAAGTTTGAACTTGATTCTGGATGGTCTCAAAAGATTTCTATACATTTTCTGCTTGAAGTCCACAGTTGTGAGGCATTCATTCATCGGTCATTAAGTCCAGTGCCATCTTCACATTTAAGACCACATATGAAAGTCTCCAATACTCTTGTTTTATCCTTATTTTCACGTTGCACTCAAGCTTCCTCCAGAACATACACTGTCATTCGCCCATCTGTAACATTGTTTTCTTCTTGATTGTTTCAATTACGGCTCTTAGAAAACGGTTGGGTTCTTTATTATCTTACCCCAGATGACGTCACAGGACAGTCCAACATTTTAGAGGGTGATAAGACTGGGTTTCCTGTCTTCCTGGTGCCTTTAAATGATGCCCAAAACATCTAGAACTGGCCCTAACCCCAACCCACCTACATCCCACAAGAGAGTGCAGCCCTAGCCCCACGACTGCATGCAGCCTATCTACCACCTCCTGAAATATTAGACTGTCCAGTCACCTGTGGATTTCCTCTATTTGGGATAGGATATTAAGAAGCAACAATGGTTGTAGTGCCTGATGATTGTGATACAGGTATTGTACAAACATTCAATATAATACTGCATCAGTTTTAGCTTTGACCACAGACAAGGCTGAGTGCTCTGCCATACATAAGTAGGAGTGTTACTGAAAACAAAATACACAGCTAAACAGTTCAGCGAAAGGAAATACTCACATAACATTTTCTTTTAATCTGTCTTTATCGGTTAAAACAGAAATGCCTTACTGCAGGATTTTGAGCAACAATAGGAAACCTTGACCTAATTGCAACCTGCCAGAAGAGCTGGTTTTATGTGGAGAGTCATGTTGTCATTTATTCCTATCCCCTTCCTGATTCCCCCTCCATTAAGATGGTCAATTGCATTTCCCCCCCCCCCCCCCCCCCATGAATCTACCTCAATACAGGTATCATTCATATGCCACCTGTAGAAATCTTTGTGTCATAGTAGAGTCCGGCCTGATTTGTTTCATTGTATAGTAAATGTGTAATGAGATCTATCAATAATATGCCATGAATTGTGGTCATAACATAAACAACTTACTTTGATGACACCATCTTGATCGCGACAAGGCAGAAAGAACTACAAGGATTGGTAGAAATAGTGGTGGTAGACAGTGACAAAATGGGCCTCAGCTTGAATAATGGGGCAAAATAAATAATGGTATTATCAAAGAAAAGAGTAGTGCCTGAATGTATAATAAAAGGCGTTAATTTAGGACAAGTACAAGGATGTAAGTATCTAGGCACATGGATAACATCCGAAGGTAGATTTATCACAGAGATAAGAACAGAACAAGCTTAAACTACATTTTATCAAATGAAGATTTGTTGCAATAAAACCATATCCCTGGAGGTTAGAAACAATAATTCTTACTTGCAATATAGAGCCATT